CAAGAATAAAAAGATGAGACTGTAACTTAGATTTAAAATCATATACAGAAGATGTGGATCTCACAGGGGAAGACTGTTCCATAACCTGGGACCGGCCACCACGATCACCTTTTAACTTCAATCTTGATCTTGGATATGACAGAGTAATACTGTCTGAGGATCGCAAACATGTGGCAGACCTATTCACATTTACAAGATCTGACAAACAAGAAGGTGCCCCAGACCGTTTAAGGATTTAAAAACAAACAGCAAAATGTTTTATTCAATTCTATAACGCACTGGCAACTAGTTAAGAGACATTAAAATCGGAGTAATGTGTTCTCGTTTACGAACCCCTGTTAAAAATCTGGCTGTTGCATTTTGCACCATTTGAAGCCGTGACATGGAGGATTGGGGTAGTCCAATATACAAGGAGTTACAATAGTCCAAACGTGATAAAACAAGAGCATGTGTGACTGTTTCAAGATCTTTAAAAGATAGAAAACATCTAACTATTGACAGACGTTTAAGATGGAAAAAACATAACTTAACTACTGAGTTAATATGTTGGTCAAACTTAAGGGAGGAATCAAAAAGAACTCCCAAATTTTTCACCGTTGGTTTGGTATAAGATTTTAAATGACCACAGTTAAAATTTGGTTTTCCTTTACCCACAGAGGGTACAAAGACAATTGCTTCCGTCTTTCCCTCATTTAAATGCAAAAAAAATTTAGACATCCAAGATCAGCTAAGCATGCAAGCAATGTTTCTAAACCATTCGTGCCATTGTGTTTTAAAGGTAAATAGATTTGGGTGTCATCAGCATAATAATGAAAGGACACTATGCTTCCTAAAAATTGAACCTAGTGGAAGCATGTACAGTGAAAACAAGATGGGAGCCAAAATAGAGCCTTGAGGAACACCAGAGGTAAGAGGAGCTACAGATAAAACAGCGTGACCAATACCTACTGAAAAAAGTTATGTTACTAAGATAAGATCTGAACCAGCTCAGGGCACTTCCTTGGATGCCAACACACTTTTCCAGGCACAATAAAAGAATGCCATGATCAACTGTATCGAATGCTGCACTCAAATCTAAAAGCACTAAAATTACTGAGTTCCCAGATTCAACAAGTAGACATAAATGTCATTTAATACTCTTAAAAGAGCAGACTCAGTACTATGATTTTTCCTAAATCCAGACTGGAATTTTTCAAGAGTATTATTTGTTTCCAAAAAAAAACTCTCTCTAAAATGTTAGCAATAAAAGGTCAATTTGAGATTGGCCTAAAATGCAATAAAACAGTTGTGTCCAGATTAGGCTTTTTCAACAGAGGTTTCACCATTGCATGTTTACAATAAGCTGGAACAAACCTATAAAGAAGGCTCTTAAACAAATAAAAACTTTATTACTTATTTTTAGGGGGTATTACTCCTAAATTTGATAGAATTTTAATTGTTGGGGACTTTAATATTCATGTTTGTTGTGACTCCACAGTATTAGCCAAATAATTTATATTTACCGTGCTCTTACCGAATTAATTTCTCATTCGGTAGGAGCACATTTATTCAAAACCACTTAAGCTCCAAAGCTACTAAAATCAGTAAAGTATGATGAAATAAGGGTTGATGATCTTCATGAAAAATTATCGATTAATTGCCCATTTAAATACATTTAATTTAATGATAACACTTTATTTCGATAGTCCACTTTAGACATTCTATTAACAGTAAGTAACTTTGCAACTACATTAGTAGAGTATTAGTAGACTGTCTGCTTAATATCTTCTAACACTTTCTTTGTCAACATTCTACTAACCCTAAACCTACCCTAACAGTCTACTCTGAGAGTTAGTAGACATGTAGTTGCAAAATAATGAGAATTAGTTGACATGTAGTTACAAAGTTACTTATAGTTAATAGAATGTCTAAAGTGGACTATCGAAATAAAGTGTAACCAATTTAATATATACCGATAAATGCATCTTTCATACTGATTACCTAATCAGAGTTTAGTTGTTTTCTATTTAAATTATTTAAATCTATTTAAAAAGAGATGTTTCAAGTTTTTGTATAGATATGTTTTTCATGTCTGTGAGTCAAGCAGCCTATACACTGAGTTTCTTCTCGCTTGAGTTTTGTGATGGTTATCTGTATGAGCAAAAATGACGGCATATTTTGTTTCACCTCCATGTCATGCGGTAAGAGCACATACAGCTTCCACACTCCACACAAACACTTGGATCTGCACCTAATAGAGCACATTTATCTAGGTAACGTTAGAGCAAACAGCCGTGTAAAGTCACTACTACTTATATGTTTTAATGATAACATATAAGCCATATTTAAGGACGATGAATGATGGCGAACGTTTGGATTTCCTGCCAGATATGCTGTAACTACTACAAGGAGCATTCGTTAACGATCCGCCTGTCACAGACACAACAGTTTTTTTTCCTGCGACTAACCGACTATTATGGGGGCAGCCCTAGAAAATATAAATAGCCTATCAAAGGCTCTTGGCTGACCACTTCTGACCTGATCACAGAAAACAAAACAAAAAAACAATACCAAGTGGAAACAGGAAGATCAGATGAATAAGTAATTTCCATCCATCATAAACTGACTCCCTCTTCCATCTGCCACTTTGATTTCCTATCACGGACAGCAAATTGTTCAGGCAGAACCAAACTGAGGTCACAAACAATGGTAACCCTCAATACCGCATTCTGTCCATCTCTCTGTACTTTGCTAAATACTTTTACATGCACCAATAAGCATCAATCCAAATGAATTCAATCCGATTTCACATTGTGAAAGTTCTAAACCCTAAACTGCAATCCGATTCACACCGAGCTGTTTACATGTTGACTTTTCAATCCAATTGAGCCATCAATCCTGCTCTTGAAAGGCCAATGGCCTTCAGACTTTAGCTCCAACCAGCTCCAACACACTTGCCTGGAATTTTCCAGTAAGTCCTGTAGACCTCGTTCAGGTGTGTTAAATTAGAATTAGAGCTAAACTTTGCAGGATAGTGGCTCTCCAGGAGCAGTAACATAGTCTCCTGATCTATAGAGATGACTGAGATAAAGTCAGAATGACTGACTGGTGTTTTTTTGTTGAAGATAGACTGCAGCCAATCTCATCCCTCCCAAAGAGAATAAATCTTTCAAGAACATCAAATGAAAGAACAACATCACTGCCATGATCAGGAAAGCCAGACAAGAGAAAGTTCTTTCTGAGGCAACTGAAAATGCTCCATCATTCTGCTTCAGTTTACAGGTCTATCATAGACAGCCTCATTCATCACAGGCTGGTTTCCTTCTGCCTCCTGCTCCAGGACCAGCGTACAGCGGCCGATCTGCTCTGCTGGAATGATCAGCGGCTGTCACCTGCCATCACCCTGAGAGGCTCAAACATGCCTTACGAGATCACCTTGAACTCATCACATCCTTGGCATTATCTCTTCACCTGACTCTCCAATGCAGATGATGGAAGTCTATGTGCACAAGGACCTCCTGTCACCAAGACAGCTTCTTCCCTGAAGCCCTTTACGTCACCTTTAAGTTATGTCAGGTCAGGGCAAACCAAGATAGCCTTATTTCCTTGTTTCACTGAATGTATGACCATGGAGATCCATCATACTGTACATTACCTGTAATTATAGTCGTCAGGAATCACATGAGCATTTATGAATTTTTTTCATAATTTGATTTCTGAAAGTTTTTACATGTGTGGTCGGAATTGACAGAGATATTAATATCAGGTGTAAACAGGGATCTAGATTAATTACCCCTTGTGAAAAAAAAAACAATTTAGCATACTTTAGCAAAGAGTACTTATTTGGAAAATATGTATTTATGTATTTATTTATTTGCAAGTGAACTGAAATTCAATGAAAATGTATTAGGCTTATAGTTTAAATGTATGTTAAATGCAATTAGCAAGTGAAATTTAGCAAGTTTTTTGTTTTGTTTAGTTTTTTGACCCAGTCAAGTAGAATATATGTAATTTCATTATTACTAGTACTGACAAGCAGTAATAAAACTAAAATATCAACTAAAATATAGTTTAATGTTATTTCTATTGAAATGTGTATATATGTATAACACATTTGTAATGAAGTTAAAAAAGTGTACCTACATGCAAGTGTGTTAAGAATCATAGTCATGAAAGTTTCTCTATTTAAGTACACTTAAGTGACCTTTTATTTCATTAACAGCATATTATAGATCTGCTGTTTATATGTATATATATATATATATGTATATATATGTATATATACACACATTTGAGATTTATAGTGCACTATAAGTGTACACATTCAATACAAGTAAGCATACTTTTTCACCACTTTTTATTTAATTTTTTTCACACTACTTTTTCTTTTTGACATCTATGATGTCATGGGACATGTGAGAACCAATCATTTATATGTCAAATCTGACATAAAACCTGACACATTCTTGTTTCATTACAAAATAAAAGAGCAATTAGGACATTCTTCAGAAGTTGCCCTTTTGTGTTCCCCAGAAGAAATGGCTTTGTAACAACTCGAGCGTTATTGAAAGATAAGTGCATTTTCATTGTGGGGAGAACTATTCTTTTAAAGCGCTGCAGCTGATAAGACTGCAAGATCACTGTCAGACTTTCATTCCTAATAAATGTGTGAGTGATCAAGGCCCATTGTGCTGCGTATGATTGATTCATCCATCAGCTCAGAGCGCTGTGAGCTCATCAATTTCCCTGTTTTATGAGCAGATCTCACCCCAAAAAGCCATTAACCGCATTTCCTTGTACTCATTTCCTTCCTTTTAATCTGCACACGTAACATGAGACAAACTTATCTGCCTGTAATGAGACGTATTTGCCAGAATGCTGTTCTCCTGGAATGAGTGCTTGAGAGTCTCAGTGCAGCGTGCCAGGAGCGACTCAACAACCCTCACATGTGCTGTGGTTCAGATCGTTTGACCACAGTCAGCGGTTATGAGAGCGATGTTAGATGATCTGTGGTAACTCACCATGCAGCCGGTTGAGTCCATCCTTCTGTCTGAAACACACTTAAAGTTTTTCCGGCATCCGCCATTATCTTTAGAGCAATCCCTCACTGGACCAAACGACGCAAGCAGATCGTCCACCGTCTCAAAATATGTGGACATGATGGCCTCTTCCCTAAAAGACAAACACAGAAGATGAATACAATTAAATATAAATAACATACACAATCACTATACAAATCCTTTTAAAGCAGATTCTCATACTAAATTATCAAATGTCCTCAGACATAAAAAGAAAAAATAAGCATGTATACATCTGCAGTTTGAACCTATAAATACTAATTAGATAATGTAGAATATGCAGTGCTAAAATAATTGACTTCAACATGAGGACAAAGTGAGCAGCACCTCCTCTGTCCTCTGCACAACAGCGTTTACTCTGAGAGCAGGACACATTTGAAACAGGTGCTTGTTTTGTGGCAGAGACAGACATAATTTGTCACTATCCGTCATTATTTTTCCAATGAGGATGGAGCTGAAATCACAAGGTCACAGAAATATTGTGTGCTTTGCTGTTGCCATGACATCTGGCAAACGTCTGCGGGGATCTATTGTGATGATGAATATCATCACACAGACACAGACACAGACACACACACACACACACACACACACACACACACACAGACACACACACATATATACAGTATATACTGCATTTTAAACTATCAAAATGTTGAAGTAATTGAACTTACAAAACAAAACAGATGCAGGAATCTGTCAATTATATTTTTATTTTATTATTTATTTATTTTATTTTATTTCTTGCAACTTAATTTACAGCTTAAAAAATAAAATAACGTATGTAATATGTATGCTTGTAATCAGATTTCACAAACTTTGCTCTGTACAAACCTTTTGCATTATACATCTAATTTGTTGACATTTGTGGGGAAACCATCTATGATGATGAAACACTTTTCTGAAATCTCTCAGTACATTTGTAGACACACAGATTGCAATAGGATAAGACAATACATTATAATAATCTGTAATTCATGAGTGACCAAGTAATTTGTGTTTTTGACAAGCTGGTTGAGTGAATGTTTTAGTGACTCACTTATTATCACCTACTTTCATAAAAGGCGAATCTGAATTAATCTTTATAGTGAACAAAAAATAATCACTGAGATGATTTAAAATCACAACTATTATGCAAGAATGAAATATAAATAAATATATATATATATATATATAAACACATATTCTCTTCCAGTCAGTGAGCAAAGCATAACAGGTGCTGAAAATCCCTCAACGAATGTCAGTGATGCTAATTAGCTTTGTTTTTTTGCAATTTCAACCGAAATGAACATTATTTGAATTGGACATCTAAATACAATCTACTTACAACTAATTAACTTTAATGAAATGGTTAGGCTTACTTTGTATGAGGAAAATAATAAACATAATTACACTATTTTATATACCCAATAAAGTTGTTAAGCACTTGCTATAATTAAAGGTATGATTTATTTACTGTATATTTTATACAGTTTCATGGTTTTCACATTGCCAATGATGTTTGGTTTATATGGAGGACGAAACCTGCAAAAACAATAAATAAATAAATACACAAATAAATAGTAATAATATTTATTTGCATATTTATTTATTTATTTGTGTATTTATTTATTTATTGTTTTTGCAGATTTCGTCCTTTCCTCCATAGGTTTATGATCATCAGTCATCCAGAACACTAAAATGCGAATTAATGAAAAAAAAAAACAATAATAATAATAATAATGTGTCAAACAACTGAGATCCAGAGATGTGATTCATTCTGTGTCCTTGAATTAGTCTCATTCAAAAACGTGCAAGCAACAAACCAGACTGAATGCTCTTGGGATGAATGCATGTCCAGAGACACATTCACAGCAAGTGCTCTTCATTTCAAAAGCACCTCAAGCAAAGCACCAATCTCTTAAATGTATTATTACTGACAGTATTTCTGTGCAGTTAGATATATATATACATCTGCTGATTCTCTGCTGATCATCTGCTCACAGAGGATTCATGCAATAAACAACATGAATAGAGACAAATTAGTCTAAATTCATTTCAGAAATTAACTTTTCAATTAAGGGGCACTATTTGATTTCCAGGGGTATTTTTTATTTAAATTTTTTACCTTTGTAAGGGCAATTTTCATAATTACCTTATTAATTGTATCTGTGTTGTCTTTTACATCAAATGCTTACATTTGACCAATTACTTAAATCAATCAGAATAGTACTGTTACCAATAACAACAAACTATATCAAATTGTATTTAAATTCTACATTCAACAAATAGAACGCCTCGGTTACGAGGCGTCACATCGGATGACCGACGAATTGGGATCTCGCCTAGAGAGACCAATCTACTTCGAGTGTAAACCAAACGAGCCAATGCACATTGGCATATGATTATTGCATCCAGCTGCTGCTGATCACAGCGTGAGTATAAGTAGGCAGCAGATGCAGCGCATATTCAGGTTTTAGCTGAGGAGCCGAATCGGTGACCCGGCCTCTCAGCGGTGGTACAGGAGCTGTGGTGACGGGACGTGACGTCTCCGTTCCCTCCTTCAGGAAACGAGGGTTACCATACGTAACCGAGATGTTCCCTTTCAGTCGGTCACTCTCGACGTCACGTCAGATGACCGATGAATTGGGATCCCTACCACATCTGCTGATTCTCTGCTGATCATCTGCTCACAGAGGATTCATGCAATAAACATGAATAGAGACAAATTAGTCTAAATTAATTTCAGAAATTAACTTTTCAATTAAGGGGCACTATTTGATTTCCAGGGGTATTTTTTATTTAAATTTTTTACCTTTGTAAGGGCAATTTTCATAATTACCTTATTAATTGCATCTGTGTTGTCTTTTACATCAAATGCTTACATTTGACCAATTACTTAAATCAATCAGAATAGTACTGTTACCAATAACAACAAACTATATCAAATTGTATTTAAATTCTACATTCAACAAATAGAACTCCTCGGTTACGAGGCGTCACATCGGATGACTGACGAATTGGGATCTCGCCTAGAGAGACCAATCTACTTCGAGTGTAAACTAAACGAGCCAATGCAAATTGGCATGCGCTTATTGCATCCAGCTGCCGCTGATCACAGCGTGAGTATAAGTAGGCAGCAGATGCAGCGCATATTCAGGTTTTAGCTGAGGAGCCGAATCGGTGACCCGGCCTCTCAGCGGTGGTACAGGAGCTGTGGTGACGGGACGTGACGTCTCCGTTCCCTCCTTCAGGAAACGAGGGTTACCATACGTAACCGAGATGTTCCCTTTCAGTCGGTCACTCTCGACGTCACGTCAGATGACCGATGAATTGGGATCCCTACCAAAAGGCCACAGATAATGCTACTTCCAGTGTCCTGTGGGAGCCTCCTGCGCCCCTACTTTTTGGCGCAGGGCAGGGCTTACACAAGAGGACCAGCTACTGCTGCTATATTGGAGGTGATTGTAACCTTGGAGTGGCAGAAGTCTTTACACATATGGGATCCACTTAGGTCTCTACATATGGAACCAAGCCCTCTACCGGTTCTCACGGATTCATCGAGAGAGGGCCTGGCTCCGGACGCTCTGCCAACTTCTGGCTGCCAAGGTGACGGAGGAGCTCAACAGGGTCTACTATACGGACTCTCTGGAGCAGTTTTAGCAAGCCGACCCGTAGCCGGGGCCACTCAGTGCTTCTACCCGTTTGAGGTGAGAACACAGGAGGATACCGGCTCCACACGAAGGCTATAGAATCTAGTGAACGTGTTAGGGGTCGCCCAGCCCGCAGCTCTACAGATATCTGCCAGCGAGGCGCCACAAGCCAGCGCCCAGGAGGATGCAACACTTCTAGTTGAGTGAGCTCGCAATCTGAACGGGCAAGGCACACACTGTGCCTGATAAGCCAGGGTGATGGCATCCACTATCCAGTGGGCCATCCTCTGTTTAGAGACAGCATTCCCCTTCTGCCAGCCTCCGTGACAGACAAAGAGCTGATCTGAGGTCCTGAAGCTTTGTGTCCGGTCTACGTAGCACCTTAAGGCTCGGACGGGACAGAGCAAAGCTAGGGCTGAGTCTGCCTCCTCCGGGGGCAGCGCTTGCAGGCTCACCACCTGATCCCTGAAGGGAGTAGTTGGAACCTTGGGCACATAGTCGGGCCGGGGCCTTAGAGTTACCGGGGAGTCGGCCGGCCCGAACTCTAGGCACAAATCGTTGACCAAAAACGCGTGCAGGTCCCCTATACTGTTTATGGAGGCCAGTGCAAGCAGGAGTAGAGTTTTCATTGAGAGAAACTAGCTGTGTGCCAGTGTCCGTGCCGAGTGTTCCCTCGGTCAGGGAGTAGAACAACTGTCAGTGAGAGGTTTCTGGAGAGGCAAACAGGTCTACCTGAGCGGCACCGAAACGTCTCCAAATCAGCTGGACCGTTTGGGGATGGAGTCTCCATTCCACCGGGAGTGTAGCTCGTGACAGCTCGTCGGACGTACGGTTGAGCAGACCCGGAATGTGAATGGCACGAAGTGACCTCAGAACCTTCCGACTCCAAAGGAGGAGGTGGCGGGCGAGTTGCGACATGCGACGGGAGCGCAGACCACTTTGTCGGTTGATGTACGCAACAGTCGCCGTGTTGTCTGTTCGGGCCTCAGAGTTACCTGGGAGTCGGCCGGCCCGAACTCTAGGCACAAATCGTTGACCAAAAACGCGTGCAGGTCCCCTATACTGTTTATGGAGGCCAGTGCAAGCAGGAGTAGAGTTTTCATTGAGAGAAACTTCAGCTTGACTATCTGCAAAGGCTCAAATGGGCCCTGCTGTAGTGCTGTGAGCACTAGAGTCAGATCCCAAGAGGGTATAGAGGGGGACCATGGAGGATTTAGCCTTCTCGTCCCCTAAGGAACCTGATGATCAGGTCATGCTTCCCCAGCGACTTCCCTTCTACGGGGTCGTGGTTAGCAGCAATTGCAGCGACATAGACTTTGAGGGTGGAGGGAGACAGCCTTCGTTCCAACCCTTGCTGCAAAAAGGTCAGCACGACTCTGATCGGGCATCTTCGGGGGTCTTCTCGGTGAGAAGAACACCACTCAACAAACAGGTTCCACTTCAAAGCGCAAGCGTGTCTCAA